CCTGCCGACCGATACCCAGACAGTTCCCAAGCAGCGATCGCGGGTCCCTGGCCAACCCCCCCAGTTATATACTGAGCATGATGTCATATGGTATGGAATAGCCCTTTGGTCAGTTTGGATCAACTATTCTGGCTGTGCCCCCTCCCAGTTTCTTGTGTACCTGGCAGAGCATGGGAAGCTGGAAAGTCCTTGACTAGCATAGGCAGTACTGAGCAACAACTAAAAACATCAGTGTGTTATCAACATTCTTCTCCTACGAAATCCAAACCACAGCACTATGCCTGCTACTAGGAAGAAAATTAACTCTATCCCAGATGAAACCTGGACACTCACTGTAAATAGTTTTGGTTTATATATACAGTAAATAGCAGAGTAGTTAATCCATCTAGAGATTGTGGTGATGATATAAACCATGAGAACAAGACTTAGTGGTTTCAGTATTCACCAGAAACCTGGGAAGGAATTATAGTCCCGTAATTCAAACTTGCCTGTCTCTTCATCTAGTGTGTGATCTGGTTCAGGCATCTCTGCCTCACATGGCTGCTGTTCCTTTCTGTTGGCTTTGCTGGTTGCCTGTGTCTGACTTTCCCGTAGCCTTCTGCCTTCTTTCACTGGCTACTGAGGTTTCAGGATGCTTTACAGCACTACAGTGCCTTCCCAGTCTGTTTCATGTACCCTTCCTGTCTCTTTTCTACCTTGTAATAAGGTTTCTCATGTATTCTGTATGCTAAAATGCATCATGTTTCAGCATACTTTGAGCAGCCTTATGAAGCAATGAGTGGTCTATCCTACTGGAACTAAACTGATAATCACAATAAAAGATGTCAGTGTTCATCTTGGGGTTGGCAGAAGCTGCTTTTTACTCTTCTTGTTTTGGATCAGATATGTGTATTGGAAAATAAAATGTTTGTCTCTCACACACGTGCACACAAAAAAAATCCATCAAAAAGGAATCACCTCAGTCTAACTAAAAGGTGGATTTACTGGATAGGGGTTGATGGGGTTTTGGCTGTTAGTGATCACTCATAAGAGAAGACAAAGGCTTATTAAAGAAGCCTCCACTAGCTCCTCAGAATGGCATAATCACTTTGCATTGATTTTTGAACTGAGATTGGATTAATCTCATTATCATTAATAAAGGCAGCACATGGTGCCACTGTGACAAGAACATGCAGTGCAGCATTGACAGGGACTCTGTTCTCATTTCTTGCTAGACTAGGAAACTAATGCAAGGTCTTGCTTTCACATAGTGAAACTGGTGGAAGGCAGAGCTTGCAAGTCCTCACTGAGAAAATAAGTCCTATGACTTATCAAAACCCACATGTTATTCCTATTTAATTTGGCCTTTATTGATTTTTCTTCTGGTTAAACCATAGCTAATTCACTAATCAAGCAGGAGTGCTCCCTGGATTGTTGTACATTATGGGGCTCTACTCAAAAGCAACAGAGCAATATAAAGAGTTATTTTTAGTCTCTAAATACAGCCATCTGAAAATGAAATTATGTTCAAATGGATTTACAGGTGCCTCCTGTGAAAATGAAAGGTGGACCCAAAGCTCCATTTCAGGTGGTAGGGCTGCAGCAGGCTTGGCGAGAGGATGGCTTGGCCTTATATGCTTGTCTAATGCCAGCAGATGAGTCTTCAGCCCAGAACAGCACCAAGATCCAGAAGATAAAAGTGAGTAGCAGCATTTACACTTAGTAGTTATGCACAGCTGCTATAGGCAGTTACTGCTGTTTTTGACTAAGGCCCAGGCTTGGATATACCAGTTCAAGCTCAAATTTCAGTGAGCCAGGATAGAGCAGCATAAGTGCTCCTCTAAATTAGAATGGGGGAACAGCCCAGTACTGTGGGAACTGAAAGATTGCTTACAGCTAATTGCCAACTCAAGCTGTCCTCAGTTAGGCTGAATTTAGATTATGTGCAGATGAGAAACCAGGTCTCTACGGCGTAGTCTTTTGTATCTGCTGCTCATTAGCTGTTCATATATTTTTGGTGGCTGTAACCCCACAGTGCAGAAATTTGACTGGATTCAGAGGGGACGTATCTTTGGCATGTATTATGGTTTTTGCTCTTATATTTTATCCATGTGAAGAGTGTGGCCCACGAGAGGGAATAGTGTCTTGCTATTTGGCTCCCAGGAGTCAGGGCCTGGAGGCCAGACCTGAGACTCTGTTCCCTCAGCTCTGGTAGACTACAGGGTCTGTGCTGTGCAATAAAACACCAAGCTGAAAGGTCTAGCACACAAGCTGAAAAACTAGCACATGTAGGTGGCACAGGGTAATGTAAGGCATGATATGAGCTTGTGTCCTGAAAACAACAGAGCTATGAACTAGCAGCTCTGGCCCCTAGGTTGTTGGCTCTGTCTCTTCCCAGAGCTAGTATCATACAGGTTGATACTCTGAGCATCTTGTTCTGTTTTCATTTTTGGAGACAGCTTGTTAGGTGTTATTGCTACTCGTCTGGTGTAAGTACCTATCCTACCTATGCAGTATAGCTGACTCTTGCTGGAAAATGCACCCAGGTGTACCTGGGGGACACTGATCCCTGTGTAACCCAGATGTCCTGTGGGCCACTTGCTTGAATAACTATCCTGTTACTGCATAACCTTTGAGATGCTGGCCCTGTGCTCCATTGAAGCTGGTGACTTTCTCTTGGGTGGCTCAAAGCAACACTTGTGGCTTTAGCGAGCTGGATTTACTACTCTATTTTTGCCTGCCTCACCCCTGGTAATGTTAACAGGAATGTGATGATAGATGTGCTCATTCTTGACACTTCCCTTATGCTGAAAAGACTGCATAGGACCCAATAGCAGGTGGTCTTAGGGGCGGTCCCAGGTATCTGAGTCACACTTGCTGGACACATCATGTGAAGTTTAAATGGAAGAGGAGGTGTAAACATGTTATGAAAACATGCTTAAGCTTCCCCTACTCGGCTGCAGCAAGCATTTTTCACTTGCAGCTGCTGGCCTATGAGCAGCAAAGATTAAATTTCTGATGATGATAAAGCCTGGAGTATGACAGCTGTGGCTCCAGTGCTCCTGCAAGTGAGTGATTGATGCTGGCAACAAATGTCATGATTAAAACACTACAAAAAAAACCCCAACCCCAAAACAATAAGCAACCTTTCTATTAGTGTTTGAGCACCTGTCGGCAAAAGCAGCAGGGCTAATGATACTGAGCAGTCTGTTAGACTGGACAAGGGCTTAATGTTGATTTCTATCTAAGGCAACTGAATTCAAGATGTTCACTTTATGGAGCAAAGAAAATTGAAGAACAGAGACTGACCTGCCTTCTGTCCATTTGCCTTGCTCTCTGCTGATTTCAGCTGACGAGCTGGACAAAGCATCAAAATTATTGAGCACTGAATATGCCCAAAATATGTATCTGATGTCATGTAATTGAATGAACTTTTGAAGCTGCAGGCTCAGGCTGCTCTGAACATTTGGTTGGAGCTGGGAAGGGTTGTGTCACAAGCTGGCAGAATGAGCCATACAGAGTTTCCAGTCTGCATATAAATTGTAAATGGTATTCTGCTGCCCCAATTACAGTTACTGACACCGCTGTTGAGTTCAGCTAGTATGCACAGCAGCGAACACACAAGGCATTTGGACATGTTCCTCAAAGCAAGGCTATGTGTAACTGAGGTTTCCTCTCATTAGAGGCTCTACCGTATGTCTTTGTGGTAACGATGACTTTTGTCAATTTGCTTTCCTGAGGCATTTGTAAAGCTCCTGCTCTTTCCCCAGCAGAGATCTAAGCTGATAGGAACAACAAAAGTATTTCAGAAATGTCAGCAGCAGCAGAAACAAGGAAAACAGAAACTAGTCCTATCTCCCCATTACTCCCCTTGAGCAATCTCAACTATTGTTGGAAAGAAATGTGGTAGATTTTACGCTTCACGCTTAAGTCTTAGTCTCTCACTGTAGTGTTAAGGTACAGTATTTTAATGGTTGAATCGGATAACAGAATTCTGTTGTGACACCACTTATCAGGGATTACCTTCAAAACATGAGTGGGTTTCCAGGCATTTTTGTTGCATCTGTTTGGTGTAAGAATGTATGGAAATCTTAGTTACTTTTTTTGGATTATGTAAAAAAGACATACCAAGTAGTGTAAAAGTTAACCAGAAGCATTATGATAAACTGATATTTTAATGTTCTTAACATGTAGAGTCCAGAGTCTGTTTTCAGTGCCAAAGATGGGTATGTACAAGATCACGCAACATATTAGGTACAGATTTGTGCCTGCTTGATGCTAGGAGGGAAATGCCTGTCTTTCTCTGTCCATCTATACTCGTATCTCATAATAGCAGCAAAATGACAGTTGTCCATGGATTTTCTTCAGATTGTAATATGAATATGATTTTTACAGCAAACATTGGATTGCTAGTCTAAGAGCCTAAGGACCTGTCTGTATCAACAAGGCATGGTTTCACTTTCCCCAGCTTGCCCCTCTGGTAATTCCCAACCCTGGTGTGATTGAACATGCTGAGTGCATTTATCAGTCTCATTGGCTTTGATGTCATTTGATCCTGTGGCTTGTTGCCTGCTATAGGGTCACAGCTCTAATGATGGGGTACAGTTCATCACTAAGAACTGGACCAAGGCAGCCTGCTAGTTTCATGTTACTGTAGGTTGTTGATGGTGTTTTTTATGTTCCAGACCTCTAAGTCATCAACTTTTTACTAGCCATTTCACTGTCATCTGTGTGTCTCTTACTGTTTGTCACATTTTGTCTCCATCCCAAGGTCTAATGGTTATTAATACAAATATAATAGTGGTTTCTCGAGGCAAATGTTCCTGTTCTTAGCTGATCAATAAGCCTTTTGGGTTATTCAACTAGGATGGCATCTATTCCTACATCAAGTGGTGCTGCTAGGTTTCCTGCCATTCTTGTCAGTTTTTTGGGGTTTAGTTTGGGTTTTTTATTTCTGTCCTCCTCCAAACAACTGATAGAAGTGAGACAGATTTGAACAACCTGCATGGTTTTGGTTTCTTGACTTGTTGTCAGAACAAATGCTTATACACTTACCTCTTGTAATTCTTGCATGCTGATAGACAAGCTGCAGTTACAAGCATGTCTGGGGATTAGATTTGTACAGCGTATGCTTTCTAAGAATCTACTAAGCATTCCCAATTAGGCACACTAGCACTGTGCAGAGCAACGTGGTTCTTGTCTGTACACTTTGATCACTTAATTCTGTAGTGGCTCAGAAGAGCTCACAATCTCTGTTATTAGATTTGGGGCTTTTTTGTAGACCTTTCCTGCTTGAGCTCTAATTTCTAGGTACAATAATAGCTGGTGTAGAGAAGATGCTTTGCATAATTGTTGATTCTCTTAATCTCTAATTGGGTCTTAGAGGTCACCAGTTTTGTCCTCTGAAAGTCCTGCTAATTAAGAACCAACCTTGAAGAACAAAGGGGCTTAGATGGGAGGTGAAATGATGGAAAACTGTAATTTAGCAGTGCAGTATTCTATATTAATGTATCAATGTTAATATTAGTATCAATCTTTAAAAAAATTTGACATTAATAAATCTTTTAATTGATATTCCTATGAAACCCTTTGCAAATTAATGTTTCATTGTATTGGGCTGTTTTATGGTCCTGTTTATGGCATTTTCTCCCTCTTTAAGTGTGGTATGTAATCTGCTTCAGAGTAATATTTGTGGGCTGATGGATGTCATGAGCCAGTTATTTTATACCAGTGTCTTGCAACCAAGTGAAGATTGCTATTAACTCGCCAGTCATCATCTGTGGTGAAGTTTTATAGCTGAGCAGTCTGAGTGTGTCAAGAGTTCTAGTGGAAGGGCAATACTGCTAATCTCCCCAGTGCCTTCACCAACGGACTCTTTTTGTTTGAGTCAAGTCTATGTGGAGGCATGTCCCCAAGTCATGGAGTAAGGCCTTCCACACAGGTGATGGGTATAACTGACTGTTGCAGACAGCATCTGCTCTCAAATCCCATCTCCTGGGTCAGGAACCCAGACTCTGTCAGGACCTTCAGTTCTGTCTTTGGACCTGGGAGTAGAGACTTTGTGGGGTGATACCAGGATCATGGGAGAAGTGTGGTCTTTCTGTGGGTGAAGGGACAATTTAGAGATCTGGTGGCAGGGATGCAGGGTGTGATGGTTTGGGAGGAGGAAGGGTGTTAAGTTAGGGGTTTGGTTTGGAGAATCTGAAGTGCAGCTGTATGGCAAATGTGTGAAGCATGAGGCTGGGATGGTGATGGTTGCAGACAGAGAAAGAGCTGCTACAGGTGCATGGTACAGACCAGAAAGTTCCTGAGGCCATCATCAATGCTTTTTAACTGTTGATTCTTTGCAGACTAAAGAAGATCTACGAGGAACATCAATTTTTTACCAGAAGATTTCTGCATTTCTAGACAGTACATGGCTTCCGGATGTTATCTGGTGGGGGGCAGAACTGGCCAATCACTTCCAAAACCAGCTGTGTCCACTTCTTCCTGAAATTCCCTCTGTCCTGCTCAGTTATGTCACTGCTGTTAATCGTGATCCTCAGGTACTGTACGGAAATGCTTGGACTTCTGGTAATTTTTTTTCTCATTGGGTCCAGTAAAAGTTGTTCTTCCAGTGTTAACAGGTATTCTCATTTGCTTTAGCTAAGGATTTAAACAGAGTTTGAAAACAAATGCTTCTAAGCAGTGTAGATTTCC